ACTTTAACCTTCACAACAGCTTCTGTGGTGATAGCCAGCCCTTATCCATGGATGTGGTATTCTCTGTTTCTAGGAACCCTCCACACTTGTTGACTGCACACCGCCTGCCCGATCCTGAGTAGAGACGGGCCGGCTGGGGGGACAGGGATGTCTGAGTCCTTCTCACGAAAACAGAGACTTTTATTATAGGGAGCTACAGGTCCTCAGAAGCCCCTGTCTGTGTTAGACAGAAAATTTTATAGGTGACTGTTCTTAAGGATGTTTCTCACCCCTCGCTACTGCTATACACTTTCCCCTGGGGAACATAAGAATTAACAGCCAACCTTCCCTATAGACTTAGGACCAGGTTTGGCCTGTCTGCCCTCTCTGTCCAGATGGTAAAGAGTGTCTTACCCAGAGACATCACTTCTCCTGTGGGCCCAAGAAAACTGATATTTTGTTTTCTCAGACCATTCTTCTTGTAAGGATGAACATACAAACTTTCAACTCTTTACATGTCAGAACTGGGAAACAAGAAGCCCCACCATTGCTTCTCCGCATGGTAGATGGTGTGGTGATTTTTTTTCAATAGCTGCTTCTCCTTTGAAGAAAGAAAATGTTTTGAGATAAGTAGCATTAGATATGGGAACAGCGTTAATGACATTAGCAGTAATTGTGCTTGCTTGCTTTTTTTCACACGACTGTAAAGATCTTGCTTTCTTTCATATGCATTCAAAACAGCAGTTCAAAGCAGACATTATGATAAACTGATGCTTACAGTGGCATATTTTTATTCAGCTGCATATCCACACCATCTACCAAAAACCAAAGGACCTAGTACAGAACCAGAACCCCAGGCAGGCCAGAACTTGGGTCAGAAGGTATGAAGCTCCAATTTCAATATTTCCTTGTTGTAATGTATATCTCTACTTGCTGTAGCCAATAGTGACAGTGTCTATGGTCCCTCTACCTGCTATAACAATGGCTATAGGCAATTCTGTGTTGTAATGTAGACCTGTATTTGCTGTGTCCAATAGTGACAGTGGCTGTAGGCTATTCTTTTTGGAAAATCAGATGAAAAGAAAAGGCATGAGGAAAAGGACAGCAAATCAAGGTTGGATTGCTAAAGAGGACTATTTAAATATAGATTTGAACAAACTCAAAGCAGTAGAAATGGAGGAGATGGAAGAAAGGGTGAGTTGTGCCTTTGAGGAGCTGAGAAGGGACAAAAAAAAAAACAGTAATGTGTTGAGAACCCATCCCATGTTTTTCCTCTTTCAACTCCCTCCCATTTTATTCTTGTCTCCCACTAACCTAAATAACATGCAGGAAAAAAAAAAGATGCCCCGATGATTAGTGAGTTTATTTGTGAATGGAAGATGCAATGGGAACACACATATCCTCACTAATGAGCATATTAGAAGGGATTGAGGAAAGGAGAAGACTTGAAGGCAAAATGGGGAGACTCATAGCAGATACATATCCTTGGTCATAAGCATCGGTTAACAGTGGCCACACAGTCCAGGGCTGGACAGATAGCTGCTGAGATCATGGCCTGGCAGAAGTGTTCTTTGCAGGCTTGTGATGACCTTGTGCAAGATTACAGGTTTAGCAGATTCCTTGTGAGCATTTCTTGCTATGGGGCATGCAAAACTTTTTCTCCTCATGGTATTTTAGTTAGAACTTGACACAATTTTATCCAACAAGTCTCTCACAGTCTACCTACACTGACATCTTGTGCACCTGTCATACATTTCTAGCTTTTTGAGTTCTAATCTCCATCTTTACACTAAGTCTGTGCCTGTCACTTCCCTTATTTATGTCCCCATGTTGGGTCCAGCCAGTGTGTAGTACTCCTTGCATATCTCAGATACCTTGACTCTAGCCACTCCAGCCACGGTGTATGCTGGACCCATCCTTGTTTGTTAGAGCTTGTGGTACCTTGCAGGTGCTCAAGGTAATTGTGAAATCTTCTGCTCGGGATGTTTATCTTTGAGCTATCATTGACATCAGTCCTTTACTCGTGACTTAAGAGAATATCAGAATATAAATTCCGAAGATGAGCTCATTTTAAATTCTGTTTCTTGTCTTATCTGGCATAAAAATAAGTTAGGACTATTTTTCTCCTCAATTTTGAGTGATGTCAACAACTGCTTATAAAGGAGAAAAGAAACTCTAAAACTTTTAGATTAGACAGATTATTTTATGATAATATTTTTAAATAGAACTAGATTAAACTGAGGTATAAATATCTTATGCTTATGTAACTAAGAGGCCAAAATAAAAACTTGCAATTAAATGTAAATGAAAGTATAAGATCAGAGCAAGCAAACTATTAATTTAATATGCGCAAGCTCTGATGTTCTGCTGACCCTGGATGGGCTCCTGAGCAGCTGGTACAGGTCCTCCATCTCCACCTGCCGGCCTGGGCTATGTACCACCCCCACTTCCTGCGCGTTTTCCCCTTTGTCACTGTCCAGTCCCTCAGCACAGACCCGGGATGGTCACACCTCCATGATGCACCTCTTGCATTCTGTCCACCTCTAATTTCCATCATCATTTCAGAAAACTAAGCCATCCCTCCTCGCTCCTGAAGAGGTCTGAAGTAGGAAAACTGTTGTGCGTCTGGGTTTCCATGACGCTTTTCAGGTACACTGCCAATCGAATGGCACACCCACCTTCACTAGTTCTTTAGATGTCCATCAGAGCAGCAACCCGGAAACGAGCAGCTTCTCAGGCATAGCAACCCTCCCTGGGGAGGCTCCGCCACCTCTAGCTAGAGACCCACTCAGCTCTTCAAGAAGCCAAACTTCCTTCTCCATGGTATTGGACATGACTGTGGCAACTAATTCATTATGTTTGCACCAAAAATATTTGCCTCAGGTCTTTCATTTATTTTCTTTAATAAAAAAAAAAATCTCCTGTACTACCTCAGTGAATATTTATAAATCACCTTCTCGCTATGAGGTACTGTATAATATCTAAGACTAAAATGTGCCCCAGTGCTTGCCATGGCCACAGAAATTCAGAATTTGAGCTGACCCAATTATATTACTCAGGGATCTCAGAAAAACAGAACCAGTAGGATACAAAATGGGGGTTACTATATTAGTCAGGATTCTCCAAAAGGACTGAACCAATATAGTGGACTCTCTCTCTCTCTCTCTCTCACACACACACACACACATACACACACACAGGAGGTAGTAAATGGCTTATAGGATGTGGTTTGGGTAATCAACAATGACTGTCTCATACTGCAGAGGCTGAGAACATGGGATCTGCCAATCCACAAGGCTGGGTGTCTCAGTATTTCCAATGTGTTGCTGAAGAATCACTGGTCTTGTAGAAGTAGGTTCTAACACTACTACAGGAATGCAGCAGCCACGGGACAGATGAGTTTGCCAGCGAAAGTGAGGGCAGGCAGGCAAAGAACAAAACCTTCCCTCCTCCAGTCCTTTCATCTGAGCTGTGGCTAGAAGGTGCTCTTGACAGTTAACAGCAGGCCTCCCTAGCACAGATAACCTGAAGGGAAAAGTCCCTCACGTAATTGCCCAATGGCTTGTGTTTTAGCTGATTCAAAATCCTCTGGAGTTGACAATGAAGATTAGCTATCCAAAAGCATGTGGTAGAGGATACTTTGGAATTGGTGCACATGAGTATGGAATCTGAGAAATCTCAATTTGCCCTCTCAAACCAGAGAGCCAAGCAGGTGTGGTGTAATTCACTTTGAAAACAAAGGGTGAAAAGAGGAGGGGCCGGACCTGATACAAGTCTCCTGCGAGAGGCTTAAAGAGCAGGGGCTCTGAGGTTTGAGGGCAAGAAACAGTGTTCCGGGTGAGCTGTGTGATGCAAAGCTGCTGTGTTCAATCCAGCAGTTCAAATGCTACAAACATCCGTTTTGTCTCCTCTCCAGGTATCACATTGGCCAGTCAAGTTTACACATAGAATTCTCATCATACCAAATCCGCTTTAATATCCTGTGTCAATATTCAGCCCTACATGGACACCGCTCTTCACTAGCCTGCGCTGTAATTCTGTCCTACCTTCTAGAACAATACACAAACACCCGTGCAAAGGACAACTTCACCTATGTGAAATTTCGTTGTTTCTTCACCTGCCCTCACCCAGAAAACCCTCAGTTCCTTCCACCCTTCTTGCTTCCTGGTGCTGAGTGAAGGAGGACTGGCTCAGTGGCTTCTTTGGTGTGTTCTGCATATCAATGAATACATTCAATTTCCTTAATGGAAATGTCAATGCATTTATGCAATCCATGGGTCTTATCTCAGAGGAACAGGTTTTTAATATCAATTTTGTTTCTGGAGTTAATATTATGAATGACTACAACCTAACACCATGGACTAATTCTATTGAGAAGGTAGGGACAGAACATGTTTTAGCTGATGCTAAGCATTTACAGATGTGTACATCCATAAATGTAAGTATGCGTATATAAGTTATTTATTTAATTTTATGACTAAAGGAAGACAATGGAAAAGCCTGAAGAGTTAAGGATTGATTAGAACTAGCAAGTGGTGGAAGTCTCTAAATGTCAGCAAATCCTGCAAAGACAGACTGCCTAGTGCTTCTGCCTCCATTCCCAAGCCTTAATGAGCAGAAGCCTTTCCCTGATGGCCAGGAAATACCACTTGGTCAACCCGTAAGACCCTACAGTCGCCAACTCTCCTCTTCCAGCCCCACAGACTCCTAACTGTGTATCAGGGCACATTTGTAACTGGCAGGAGGACCATCATATCCTAAGGCCAGGTCATAATTTTCATTCCAAGGGCAGGCTGGGCTGGATTCACATGCAGGCCTTTCTTAAAGTGTTACAGTCTGAGCCTGGGCAGTGACTAATTCTTCTTTGAAGGTCTTTGTGGTCAGTGAGACGTGTGTTTTCAGGTGCACATCTGTGTCCTCTTCAACGTCGGCATCAGCTGTTAGTCATAACAGTGTATAAGGAAGGAGCTACTGTAGAGAATGACAGCAACACTTTTGTGATTAATTCTCCTCTCCCGCAGCTGGCTGTCCCAACTCTTTGATTAAAGAGCTCCATCACTTCAGGATTCTTGGAGAAGAACAGGTGAGTCAGCCTTTCAAAGGCCGCATCGTTGTGTCATGAAAGATAGACGCTAATGAGACAGTTTGGACCTCCCTGGGGAGGCAGCGTGTGTCTCCTGACCCACAGCACCCTGAAATAGGGAAGAAAGCCATGCCAGAGACACATGTGAGGATGCTTTCTCCCTCTTCCATCCATCAGACCCGACAGGTTATTAATTGGTACATCTGTTCCCTGCCAGAGTATTTCATCTCAAGACTGGGGTAGTAAGCAGGCACTGCATCGTAGCAAATGAACAAATAAATGCAGAGATGAATTATGCCTAAGGGATCGATAGGCACAGACATTCCAGACACGTCTGTGAGTGGGGACGCAGTGTGCTGCTTACACTTTATAGCAGGTGAATATGTGACATAAAAAGGATAGCATACATGTACACCCGTACTCTTGCTTATACTTTTGACTACTGAAGATAAAATTGGCTTTCTAGATTGCTGAGTTTGCGTCTGTAGATTCAGCCAGCCTATCTGAAACTATCTGGGAAAGAAATCAACAGCAAAGACACCAGGGAGATAGCCTACAGGATCAAGTCACTTGCCATGCAAGTGTAGCCTGAGTTTGAGTCTCCAGGACCCATGCAAAGCCAGACACAATAGCTGATCCCAGTGTCTCTACAGCAGAAGAGCATGGCAACCCCCAGGCTAGCTACTACAGCCATATGCAATGGAGAGACCCTGTCCCAAATAAGGTGAAATGTGAGAAGTGACACAAAAAGTTGTCCTCTGACCTCCTCGTATGCACTGTGGCAAGTGTATGCCTCCCCTCAAATCCCATGTATACATACATATATCAACACAAAAGCAATATAATAAATATTAGGACAAAGTGTGTAAATACTATAGAATATGTATATAATATTTTCATTGTATTGGCATTGTTAGTAATCTGAGGATTCAAAGGACACTTGGGGGTGTGTATACATTATATAAGGAAGTGACTTGAGTATCCTCTATGTTTTGTATCCAGCAGAAATACTGAAACTAATCCCCATGGAAATTGAGGAACAACTGAACCTCTCTTAATCCGTCTATGAAATTACAGAGTCTATATTAGTATGTTAATCTTGGCATTAAATTACCCTTGCAATACTTATACTGAATAGTTGGTAACATCCTGGCTGACCTAACTGATACTCTGCTGTTGATTCTTACTCTTTGCCAACCCTGACGACATAATGGGCAATTGGAATTGCAGTGACTCAGTTTTGCCAGTGAATTCTGGGTTGTGTTTTGTTTGATATGTATCTAAATTCTTACCTTGCTGCTATGATAAAATACCATGAAAAAGGCAACTCAAGAGACAAAGGGCTTATTCTGCCTCTCAGTTCAAGGGTAAAGGAAGGTAAATCAAGGGGCAGAAGCTTGAAGCAGCTGCTCCTGTTGCATCCAGTCAGAAAGCAGAGAGGGACAACACTTCCTGCTGCTCAGGTCTTTCCCTACTCACAGAGGCCAGGAACCTGGCCAGGGAATGATGCCACCCACAGTGGGTGTGGCTTCTCAGTTCAATTTGTATAACAAAGATAATCTTTCACAGACATATGAAAAGGTCCAGGTAATTCTAGGTCTCATAAAGTTGATAGTGAGATCAACCATCACAGTATGTATGTATGGCAAAGTGCGATTTTTTACTTCTAGAATTACACATATAAGTGTTTACTCAAGTCCATGCTAAATCAGTGTCCCTGCATGCCAGGAACTAGTTGTTACCTGGCTCCTCCATGCATTCACCTCCATTGATAACCTCATAGCCATTTTCACTTAGAACTTTAGACTTCTTGAAAGAACTACTAATCATTACCCCCAGTACTTCTGTTCAGATAATGGAACCTTCTCTCTAACTTGTACCAATATTTGCAAATGTTTCCATATTTGTTTCAGACTCACTGTGTAATTAATAGGGAAAGAAGCCAACTATAATAATCTTCTTAGATTTGCATGCAAGTTGGGCCACTTTGCATTCTCCGAGAATTTAATCAAGCAATAATCAAAATTAATATTACCCTGATTAGTTATGGCAGTAGAGTACATCATTGTAATGTTGATGTCTGTGTCCTAGAAAACCAAACGTCCTTCCTTCCTTTTATTCAAAGGAAGATAGGAAAGAAGATAATACTGAACACCTACTGTGTGCTGTGAATCATTCTAGGTTACAGGGATAGAGGTGTAAACAAGAAATTTCATCAGCTTCATTTTAGCCTGGGGAAAATAAGTTCTGTCATATAGTCATAGACATGTTGGGTATATAGGTATATAGGTATATATTCCTAGAGAAATACAAAACTAAAGAGGGAAAATGAAGGAGGAAAAGTGGGGTGGTCAGGGAACAGAGGAGTGTGTGTATCCAGGAGGGGGAATTTAATATCCTCCTCACCGCCACCTGAGGGGGGAACAGCCTTACCAGTTCACAGAAGAAGACAATGCAGCCAGTACTGATGAGACCTGATAGGCTAGGGTCAGATGGAAGGGGAGGAGGACCTCCCCTATCAGTGGACTGGGGGAAAGGCATAGAAGAAGAAGGAGGGAGGGTGGAATTGGGAGGGGATGGGGGAGGGAGCTACAGCTGGGATACAAAGTGAATAAACTATAATTAATAAAAATTAAATTAAATTTAAAAAAGAGGCAGAAAGGTAGGGGAAGGGCAAAAAGATAGACTCAGAGGAGCTATTGATTACACACCCCATTGGGCTTTGGATGCTGGGAGGGGATGACTGAAAAAAAAAAAACAGTTATTGGCTGAAGAATGAATACTGGATATGGGGTGTGGAAGGAAGAGCCTGATGGGAAATGAGAAAGTTAAGGAAAATCCAGGGACACTGGCTTGCTGAGTTAGGATGAGGTCAGAATGAGTGAAGTTATGTCACTGACTTGAGATGTGTGGCCATATGGACACTAAGCTCACCTGGAACCTTCCCTGGAGAGAATTTGGAGGGTGATGGTGAGCTAACCACTAAAGAACTGGGAGGAGGAGAGGAGGGGGAAGCCAGAAGCTGATGGCAAAGAGAGTGGTAGAGCACAGTGTATGTCGCCTGGTGGCTTGGAATGAAAAGTGATACGTTAGAATGAAAAGAGGAGAAAGAGTGTCCTTGGGCCCTTGCCATCCAGTATCAATATGGGGAGAATATAGACAAATAGAAAAAATGTCAATTATAGTTATAGAGAAGGGACTGTAGTCCCCCCCCCCCATGAATATTGAGACAGGGGACAGGCGTCTTAGTGTCTGGGGCAAATGACAGATTGGTGGGGAATGAGATGCAGAAGGTCTTCCTTATGAAATGTTCAGGGTCACGGAGAAGAGATGACACACAATCCTGGACTTCTTCAATAACTGCTATAAACAGCATATCAATCGGTGTCATTCTGATAAATCATGACAAGAGTATCAGTGTTGGGTGAGGCTTGGAGAAGAAGCAGGTCTGTTTCCCCAGGGCTATGGTGGCTCCTGGGAACTAGAGGTGCTCGACAGCTCTTCTGTGTGCTCCTGGCAGCGTACAGCAGGTAACAAAATGAAGCCTTCATACTAATGTGTGTCACAGTGTCCCCAGAGAGAGGAGTTGGTCTCCACAACCTGGATTTTCCTCTTACAGAAAGAATAATGGCATCCAGCCATTTGTCAGAGTTTCTGCAACAAATTGGATTTCATGTTTCTGATTGTAATTATTGTTTACAGCCACCAAAACAATGAAGTAACAGCAACAGAGTGGACCTTTAAGTCAGCATAGTGTCTGTCTACCACATGACGTAACAGATACTGACACAGACACTGGCTCCTTGCCGAATTCAGTGCTGCATGGTGGACATGAGAGCCAACTATTAATTCTTCCTGTGTGATTTCTTTCTGTTTTCAACAGTCTTTACTGGGCATTTTGGCATCTGGATTAAAAAAGAACTACTAGGTTTGAGAAGATAGTGCAGTTGGTAGAGCACTTGCCATGAAAGCATGAAGAACTGGGTTCACTCCCCAGGACTGAGATAAAGAAAGCTGGCTGTGGGGACACACCCCTGTAATCCCAGCACTGGGAGGCAGAGAGAGGAAGATGGCCAAGTGGTCTATGCCCCAGCTCAGTGAGGGGGCATATCTACAAAACCAAGGTAGATGGCATCCTGAGGAATGACACTTGAGGTCAATTTCTGGCTTCCACATGCAAACACTTACATATCTACATACACAAACATGCTAACACATATACACATATACATGTGCACATATGTACACACACAAACGTGCATGCATATGCACACAAACACACACATGTATACACATGCATGCAAACACCAGTGTGCACCCATGTACATGTGTTTACATGTGTTTACATGCACATGTAAACACGTACATGTTCACACAAACAAACATGCATACTCAACTAAATCAATAAGCTCTGTTAACCGCTCCCTTCGGAAATAAAACTTAAACTCTTTGAAATTCAGAAACTTAATTTCCCTTTTATATGTGTGGTATTTTGCCTGTGTGTACATCTGTGCGCCATGTCCACGCAGCGCCCACAGAGAAGGAAGATATCAGATCCCCTGCACTAGATTCACAGACAGTTTGCGATACCATGTTGGTGCTCAGAGTCAACCCTGGGCCCTTTGCAAGAGCAGCCAGTGCTCTTAACTGTAGGGCCATCTCTTTACATCTCCCGACATGTTTATTTTAGCTTCTCAGTCATTTTCTGATGTATCCTACAGTTCAGTCATTAAGCCTCTTCACCACGAACTCAGCCATTCAGCAACGATTTTTAAACATCACAGAGAGTAGAGTCACTCCAAAGTCTGAATTGAGTCCCAAAGCTGGTATCACCTGTGGAGACCATGAGGCTTGGACAGACAGACCTCAGAGGGCCTGCCTTTCAGGGGTGCAGGTGCCAACAACTTGCGTTGGTTCCCTGAGAGCAGACATGCTTTACTGCTGAGCCTTCTCCGGGAAGTTAATGGAGATACTATCAGTGACTCCCTGACCGGTAGAAA